GTGTGTGTGTGAATCCTATTTCTTGCATGAACCTTTTAAGACTGTCTCCCAGGTTGAGGGATAACACATTTTTGTTGTTGTTGCTGGGTCCACCAACAATGAAGCATTTATACATCATTTTGATTCTGAATAAAGGGGAGGCTTCAAAAAGTTTGTAGAAAAAAATGGAGTGAAAAGAGCTTGTGATTTTTTTTTCATGAACATTTTGAAGACCCCTCATATATCGATTTCAGTGAAATTGATTACATATGGAATTCAGATAATATCTTTAGAATCAGATCCAGCCAACTCTAAATTATAAACTGGAACAACTACTAGGGAGCTTCAAAAAGTTTGGAGGAAAATCCCATTATCTTATAACCCCATTTTTGCTGTGCCTTTTTGAAGCCCCCACTTAATTGACTTTTCCAGGGTAAATCCTTACGATAGAACTATTGTGAAAGTTCATTATATTCTTCCCTTAAAAGTGAAAAACAGCCCTTCAAACAGAGCTCAGTACAAAACAGGTAAAGGAATAAGAACACCAGGGATTTAGATCTTCCTGGAGAGGAACAGTTTAGCAAGTCTCACTGCTTGGATGCTAGAGAAAAAACTGGATTTTATGTAAAATGGTTTTTAAAATCGGAATTGTCATGTAATGTGGAAGGGATTCAAAATACTAATGCTAATGTCTGTTGAAGAGAGTCAACAAAAAAGTCCATTCTTTTTTGTTACAGTTAGGATTTGTGTCAACTTGGCTGAGCCAGGATTCTCCCAAGATGTGATCTACCATGATGGGATCTTCTAAGAGCAGCCAGGCAGTTGTGGGAAGACCAGGTTATAGCCTCGATACAATTCAAAGAGTTAGGGCCTACTTTTATTTAAACATACTCTGTGGGACTGACTTCTCCCTTCTTGTGTCTGGATCCTGCATCTGTCTCTTCAACCTTCGGGTCTTTGAACTTGAGCCAGCAGCCCACTATATTGCCTGATGACCCTGGGAGACATCAGCAGCTTGTCATATTGCCTATTGACCTTGGATTCAGTTGACTATGCAGCCATTAACCTAACCTACTGGCCCTGGATTTGTCATCCTCTGTCTCCATTGACCTGTGGTCTTCCTGCTTCCAGGTATTCCAGCCCTGGCAGCTATGTGAGTCAGGACTCACTGGCTTTCTTTTTTTAAAAGTTTTTATTAGCATGTAGTTCATGTCTCATACAACTCAAGAGTTCAATTATAATAAGAAGAGTTGTGCAACCATCATGATTTTCAAATCTTTTCCTCTTTCTTATAGTCATTGTTGTTAGAGCACACATGTAATCTGAGTGTCCTGCTCCCCAATGCCTGCCTTCCCCGCACTCTCAGTGAGGCCCCAGAAATGTCTGAAGTGGGAGTCCAGCTAATCCACGTGGGTGGGGCTGGATCCCAGGGACTGATTTTAGTGAGAAAGCTACCAGGGGTCCTTGCTGGAAGTTAGTAGTGAGGTTAGGGAGCCCTGGTGGTGTAGTGGGTTATGCAATGAGCTGCTAACTGCAAGGTCAGCAGTTTGAAACCACCAGATCCTTTTGGGGAGAAAGATGACATTTCCTATTCCCATAAAGAGTTACAGTCTCAGAAACCCATAGGAAATTCCATAGGGTCACTAGGAATCTCGACTTCATGGCAGCAAATGTGGTATTGGTTTGCTGGAGTCGTGAGAGTGTGGTGATAGCTGGCCGACATCCCCTTTCCTTATGCTGGTCGCTAAATGCTTGAGGAAGGTGTACTGCAGTCTATTGCTTTCTTTGAATTAAAAAAAGTCTCTATGGTTAGAATTATAGATACATGTGCAGTTATAAGAAATATAGAGAGAGACTCTCCATCCTCTTTGTTTTTTCCCAACGAAACCTTGACCCCTAGTCTGTTGCTTTTCATTTCATGGGACTACACAAAGGGGTACATCCTCCCAAATGGAATTGCGCTGGGTGGAGCGGAGCTTTCAGCGTATGCATCGTTTCGCTAGGTGTGCACCTAGCAACTCACTCTGAGTTAGTGCACCCAGGGATTCATCTGGGAAGGTTCTGTCTGGTCACAGTGAATTTTTTCATACAAGCCGTTTCGCTCAAATCCCTTTTTTTTGTTTTTGTGATGGCTGATTTAAGAGAACAGCGTGTGGCTGTGAAATTTTGTTTCCTGCTCAGGAAAAATGCCACAGAAACTGTTGTGAGGCTGAACACAGCTTACAAGGCCAGCACTATGGGAAAAAACTCGAGTGTATGAGTGCTTTTCTTATTTCAAAAAAGATGAAATGGGTAAATAAACAGCCATCTAGCTCAGAAGCAACAAAGCCCACATGGAAGAAGCACACCAGCCTTGTGATGTCGAGGTGTCGAAGGAAGCAGGTATCAGGCATCAAAGAACAAAAAATCATATCATTGTAAATGAGGAGGAGTCCAGATTGGGGATGCAAATGCCATCTGTAGGCAACTGGACATCCCCTTACAGAAGAGTGGTTGGGAGGAGAGGAGCCAGTTAGGGTGCAGTGTAGCAAGGATGAAACTTTCCTGTATCCTCTAGTTCTTTAATGTTTCTCTCCCCTAACCCCCACTATCATGATCTCAATTCTACCTTACAAATCTGGCTAGACCAGAAGATGTACACTGGTACAGATAGGAACTGGAAACATAGGGAATCCAGGACGGATGATTCCTTCAGGACCAGTGGTGAGAGTGGGGATACTGAGAGGGTGGAGGGAGGGTGGGGTGGAAAGGGGGAACCGATTGTAAGGATCTACATATAACCTTCTCCCTGTGGGACGGACAAGAGGAAAGTGGGTGAAGACATTGGACAGTGTGAGATATGACAAAATAATAATTCATAAATTATCAAGGGTTCATGAGGGAGGGGGGAGGGAGGGGGGAAATGAGGAGTTCATATTAAGGGCTTAAGTAGAAAGCAAATGTTTGAGAATGATGAGGGCAACAAATGTGCTTGACATACAATGGATGGATGGATGGATTGTGGTAAGAGTTGTACGAGCCCCCAATAAAATGATTTAAAAATGTATATATATATAAATTTAACAAAATTTGTTTTAAAAAAATGAAATGTTGATTGATGACAAACCTCATTCGGGACATCCATCAACGGAAGAAAATGTCAACTCATAGTGCATTTGGCGTGTGTTCCACCAGGTCAGATTGTTAATCAAGCTTTCTATTTACAAGTTCTGAAAAGACTGCATAATAGTGTGTGACAAAAAAGGTCTGCTTTGTGTCAGACTGGGGACTAGTTTTGCCACCACGACAGTGCATCTGCTCACACAGCCATCTCAGTGTGTGGGTTTTTGGCAAGAAAAAAAAAGCACCATATGCCTCTCTTGCTCCATGCACCTGACTCACCTTAACTTGATCTAGGCAACTTCTTTTTGTTTCTGGGAATGAATGGAACATGAAAGGACAGCGATGCGACAATGTAGAAGAGGTGAAGAAAAAAACCGAGGGAGATACTGTCAGCCATCCAAATAGATGAATTTGAAACATGTTTCCAAGAATAGAATCACAGATTTGACAAATGTATTAAATCTAATGGAGAAAACTTTGAAGGCGATAAGGTTGTTTTGTTAAAAAAAAATACATAGCTTTGAAAAAAAAATTCTGCTTTTTCAAAAAAAACCAACAACAAAAAACCTCACGTATATTCCTGCTAGGAGGCATACTGACATAGTGCTTACACTTTGGACTGTGATCTGCATGGATGGCAGTTCGACAACACCCACAACTCTTTGGAAGAAAGATGGGCTTTCTATTCATGTAAAAAGCTACCATCTGGGACACCCACATGGGGGCCGCTGTGAGTCAGCATTGATTGGATGGCACAGAGCATATATTCCCTGGGGACATAGCCCTTATGCATTGGGTCGCTAAGTGCCAAGTCAGCGGGGTGAAACCACGAGCTCTCTGCGGGACCTTTGATCCTGAAAGCCTATATAGCGTTGTGAGGAATCGGAATCAACTCCATGGCAACAGGAGTTTTCATTTTGTAAAAACAGCAAAACACGGAAACCACCAAGTACTGTTTGGTATGGAATTCATTCATAAGGAATGAATTATTCTGGCCACTTTTGAGGAGGCCTGGTGGTACACTGGTTAAAGTGCTTGCCTGCGAACCCAAACCTGGGTAGTTTGAACCCACCAGCAAGTGAGAAAGATGCAGCAGTGAACTTGTACAGCTTTGGCATGTGGTGGGGAAGTCGTCCTCCGTCCTCTAGTTACTGATTCAGGATCGACTTCGTGCCCGTGGGTTTGCGTTCCAGACTCGCTTGAGTGTCAAATTGTACTCACATGCACTAGGAGCGCTAGGGCCCGCTGCCCAGGACCTGCCAGGGTAACACACCTCGTTTGTTCAAATCACCGGTGGTTCTACCTTGGGTTTTGAGGACTCAGAGGGCCTCCGACAGGCCTGATTCCACTCGATGCAGCTAGCAATTCTCAGTGAGGTTCAATGACATTTAGTCACGTTTTGAGGCGATTTAAACAAAAAATTTTAAAAAGATTCTTCCAGAACTGTCTACAGTCCAGGAGAGCTCCATGAACACTTTGGAAGGAGCGAATGGCTGCTCCAATGTCCCCAGTGGTGTGGACCTTGATACCAGACAGGAGGATAAAAGAAACATTCCGATGGCTTTACTGGTTCAATTTGCCAAGTATAAAGATGAGCAGAGCCAAATTATTTATTACATGGGATTTCTTTTGGCAGTTTTGCTTCACCTACTCACTGGGATCTGCCAGGTTTCGGTCCCACATACATTGAGTATGCGCATTCATCTCTGGGCTAATCCATGTAAAAACCAGATGGAGACTCTCGGTCTGAGTTATTTAGTGGCAGGCTCTGCAGGCCATTTCCTGTGTGGCTCACAAAACGGAGTATTTCTCTGCTTCCATTTCTGAGCCTGTGCGTCATTCCACCCTGCGAAGTGGCCAGTGCCCAAGGGGTAGGTGCGGAGATGTGACATAAAGGAGAAAATCACCAGTTTGTCGATGTTTGTCATTTTTATTGGCAATACTTCAGGTCCAAGTTTCAAACTGCAATATTTTTACACTCAAGACACAGTCATGCACAATCCATATTTCAATTTTCTATTGCTTCAACCACAATGTAAAGGAACAGCATTGGAACCAAAACAAATCCTTAAGAAGGGCAGATGCTGAGGTCAGAAAGATGGAACCGTACCATCAGCCGGTCTACAAAGGAAGTGACTCAGTTGAAAGCCAAACAAACAAAACAGACCATAAATACCTCTAATCCAAAGTTACAGAAGAATTTCACTACACGTGAGTTTACAGATAACACATTCTAACAAAAGCAATGCACAGCCAAATGAGGTACCATTTGGATAAACAATGAAAATGCAGATTCTCCTTGACTGGTGTGGTATGGATATTACCAATCGAATCCCAGTAGACATCAGTCCCCTTATGATCTAGCTCTGCCTAGCTGATGCACTGAGATCCACAACCCAACCCGTTAATGGTTATGGGGTTCTGTGAAAGAGCTTACCGTCACCAAAGAATACAGTATATGCGGGTCCATAAAGCACCCCACGCACAGGCACACACATTAAACTTGAATTTAGCCCTCAGGGCTGGTTGGCACTCTGCTTGTAGGCAGGGCATTGGGACTGGCCCCCTGACTTAACTTCCAGTATCCCTTCTTTCCAGCAGCATCCTCATACAACTAGTCAATAACTGCAGGAGTTTTCATGAGAAATGCTATCTTGACTTCCCTACAAGTAGATTTTGCACACTCCTTAATGCTAATAGCTTTGTTCATTTTCCTCTCTGCAACCTGCAAGTGCTAGGTCTACTCTTTGTAGTTCCAGCCATTAAAATGTATAGGTTCTGCCATCTTGTGCCATTTGAGAATTAATCTCTATCAAGCCAGCCAGCACTGCTTGGGAAAAAAGTAGAGGCCCCCGGGTAGTCCTCTTCTAGCAACTACAACAGTGTGTTTCTCTTGTAGTAGCAACTAGTGGCCACAGCTTAATGAAAACCAGACTTCACGCACAGAGTGTATGGAAAATGAAAACTGGGAACACGCAACAGAAAGAGGACATTAAAATAAAAAAAGAAAGCAACTGTGAACAGATTGAAAGGCTGCCACAGTTTAATCACCATGCCTTAGTATTCTTAAGTTCTTTGCCTTGAGTTGTTTAATCATCTCATGGAGTTCTAATATTCAATTGCAACAGGAGACCTAGGCTTAAGCCTGTGATATTTGCTATCACTTTCTCAGGCTGAATTTGTGAGTCAACCTGTAGGGAGAATGTGGGGGCGGGGTGCTTAGAAAGACCTTGAAGAGATCATCTAGTCCAATACCCTCATTTCACAGCCAAGAAAACCGAGCCACAGAATGGCTAAGTGATTTGTACAAGGTCACAGTTAAGTCAGTAAGGTAGCTCATATATTCCTAGACTAGTAGTCCTTCCACTCGCGACATCCGATGAGTCTCTAGAATTGCTGTTTATTTTCTCTTAGGTACAAAATCAGATGAACAAGGTGCCTGCCCAGCTGCTGGCATAATGTGACATTATTCACCCAATGTCAGCTTGCAAAGAAACCTCTAAGGGGCACTACCCAGCTTCCAGAAGTTGATCTTGCAAGTTCAGCGATATTCAGTGGCAGCATAAGTGCTACAAGTCCCCTTGTACTTGGAGGTGCGAGCGTGGAGGTGCTACCTCAGTTCCTGCACTTGCAGATGGTCTTTCATATAAAGCAGAAATTCCCCATGCGTGAGGTCCGAAAAAGGAGTGAACAAATCAAAGCTAACCAACCGAAAGATCCTATCAGAATCAAAGCTCTTATTAAAATGTTTTTCTTAGGAAAAAGATTTCCATTGTTTCTAAGGTCCCATTCATGTCTTTACCAATCCACATGCAAATATATGTCCAGATTGTACATTAAGCCTACTCAAAATCCCAGCCAGGCCCAGGAGACTATGTGGGTTTACAAATACTGAATTTCAGTCCTCATGTTAGGAGACTGGGAAAACCTTGCCTCCCGGTCACGCTGTTTGTTGAATGGAATATGAATGGCAAGTAGCTAAGCAAAGGACCATGAGATTAAAATGGGGGTGGCAGAACTAAGACACTCATTGCTATTTTTACCTTGAGGATAGTCAGTGGGAAGCCTCTGGATTCTCTAGAGATAAGAGTCTGCTTTGGGTGAAATTGAGGGATAGGAGGTTACGACATCGTTATCCAAGTCCTCTCCTCACGTCTCTTGTGAGTTTGAAGGAAATTCATCTCCTTTGCTTGGTGCTCTCCCTGCCTCTTTAGAAGCCCCAATGGCTGCACACAAGCTGCAGTCTAGCAAGAGAGAAAGCATGTGGGGAGCCCCGCGACCCAGCGCTAACAGGCCCACGACTGAAGGTCAACAGACAAGGCGGGTCTACATTTCAGTCGGACTGTTTTCTTTTCACAGGCAGCTTTTCATTGCAAATCATCATCGCTGTTGAAATAGCCCTGACTTGCCTAGTGGCCATCCAAAGGCGCCTCCTACCTAGATGATATAATATCTGGCCAGACAAGGAAATGGTGAGGGCTGGGGATTCTAGCCTTCGATCCCTCAAAAAGTCAACCTTATAATGTGCTAAAATGATCCAGATAGGTGGTATCTGAAATAGATATTATGAAGGGGATTGGTTAAGTAAGTACCACCCCTCCAATAAAAAAGTAACCAGCCATCTTGCAAGCAGAAGGATGTATCCCAAGTTCTGCTAGTGAGTTCGCCCTAGCTTTAACGTACAGAGAAGAAAGCACGTGCCATCCCCAAGCGTATGCCAACCTCAGCACTCAGGCAAGTAGAAAGCCTATGGAATCATTATAACTAGCAAATATCTGTGCCCTGCATGCTCTGGGCTCTGGCCAGAAGGCTCTGCTTCTGGTATCTTCTCTAGGTTTCTATAGTTCCCTTTCTGGTGTTTATTTACTATGAAACAATATAATGACAGCATTGAAGGATAGTTTAAAACAGAAGAAACAATTTATAATCCTACCACCCTAACACAATGGATTTCAATTATCTGTGTTCCCAGTCTCTGTCCTTACGCACACTTATTTTTACATCGTGGCAATCTATTTATGTGATTTAGAAGTGATTGTATAGATTCTTTCCCCTCTGAGAACTGGCAGCCTCGTCAGAAATAAACAACCCATTGAGCAAAGGAATATATTTACACAATCTTTGACTGAGAGATATCTTTTATAGACAAACATCTCAAACTATCAAAACAGTTATACAAACAACAAGAAGCAATTTCTTAGTTTTCTTTTTCTTTTAGTAATGGAATGTGCTTCACAGGGGGGATAGAGAGATGTGATCAGGCGGTTAAACTGAAACAGTGAGGTGCAAATTCACAAGCCTGAAAGAAATCTGACCAACACAACCGAAGAATAAATACTTGAGTCAAACTTTCTGACATGACTTGGCCATCCAGTAGCCAAAATGGAGCACAGACACACAAATATTTACAATGACACACAGACGAGATCAGCAAGAACGAAGTCATTACTCAACATGGTGACTGATCCGAGGGGATTGGGACAACCCAAAATCCTCCTGGGATTACGACAACGCACCGGATCCTTGCTACAACGTTAATGCTCTTTTCTTTCTTAAATAAATAGTTTCTACTGTGCTTCTCACCCTTCCCTGACTTTCCCACTGCCCTATCCCTATCTCAGGACATTTTGAATCAACATTCGACAATGTGCCCTCGTAGTCTCAGGGCACACTCGCAACATTAAAGATCTGGATAGACTCACCTGTGTCAAGATGAGCTAAATAAAACAAAACAAAACAAAAAAACAGGGAAAGGGGATCAACTATCACCCATCCGGAGTCCAAGTTGTTCAAGTGTATCAAATGAGAGTTCTTCACCATCCTTTTGGCCAGGAGAAACAGCTTCTCTCTAATACTTCATAGAAATATACACAATTCTCCAACACAGGGAAGGGGCTTTAGGGACCAGAGATTAAAAGTTGTTCTCGTTGTAAAATATACATAGAAATACATTTGTAAGGGGAATGCCTACTGGGCTACATGACCATCAAATCTTGGTCACGAAGTAATGGTAAAGTACGCGGCTCCTCATCTTTATTATGCAGAACCTGAAAGTGTGAAAGATCAGCCTTTTCTCTGCCTACAGTGATCTGAAGGATCACTGCTCCAGGGTCTTAAAACCAAAAACCAAAAATAAAAACCCTTTATGACTTAGAAAAGATGCCGACAACTAGGGCTTCTCGGTCAGTTTGGGGCCTTCCTGTCCTGGAAGGCCCCAGTCATCAATGTACTGAATTCTAGGGATTTCATTGGATTCCCTGGCATGATGAGTGAAAGAAAAACCATCTCCACTCCAAAAAAAAAAAGGAAAAGAAAATAACAAAAGCACCTTAATTTTAAATAAAATAAAAATTAAGGCCTCCATCTCTCATTAGAACAGCGTGGTATTACGATTTTCAGGCCCAGCCAACGTGTGACAAAATATAACATGGTATGCCCCCAATGAATTCTAACCAATGATTTTTCTTTTCATATTTCTTGCTTTATCCCTTCTGGGTGGATTTTCCCTGAACATGGGGATGGGGGGTGGGGAGAGGTGTCAAGCCCTATCCCATTTTATGGTCAAAGAAAAAAATTAGGAAAATAGGATTCTCCACCCCTGGTTCCATCTCCTAAACCCAAACAAGTGCACTGCACGGTTTGCAGAAACTCTAAGGAAAGTGCTTTCAGTTTAAGAATAGTTGGTTAGATGGGCGATACACCTTGACAGAGAGGCTCACATCATTGATGTCTTCGTTACCGTCAATGGCGACTATCCAGTTTATTGATATACTGAAAATCAATAAGCCTTATGCTTCATCAATTGTTAGCTTCCCCAAGACATAGAGAAAAAAACCTCCCAGAATTGATAAAATCGACAATACCCTATCATTTTCCATGCTGGCATCCTCCAGATATTTTTCTCTGTTCAGAACTTTTCTGAAGTGTCAACTGGTGGGTTTTGGGGGGGGAAATAGATGTATGGTGAAACAATGGTCCAAGCTACAGAAGGAATTCATTTGGACTGATATTTTTTGGGATGTATGAATGGCGGCCAAAATGGTTTCCACTAACAAAATGTTAAAATGCAAACGCCTGAGAGGGACAACACAGGAACACACTGCATTGTGAAACACAAACGGAGGATACCGAGGGGATCAATAGGGGACAATCACCTAGAGCCAAATACTGGTTGGGATAGAGAGTTCTCACTGACCTCCTATTTCTTACAGAGTGGATGTCTGTGAGATCTGGCTCACCAGCTCTTTAGAAAAAAAAGAAAGAAAGAAGAAAAGATGATGAGTTGTCAAAAGGGATCATTTTTATCACCTGGAAATGGGGTTCACTGCCTACCCCCCCGCCCACCGATGTACCTGTTTTCAGTGTTCTGTGCTCCACAAGCACACAAGAAGATTCAATAAGGTACCTTTTCACCTTTGTTCATGTTACAAGTATTTTCAGAGGGACACCTCATCCTGTTGTCCTTGTGTTTCTCAGAGAAAGTCCCGTCTTAGTTCTCCTATCAGGCTCTTCCAGGTGCAGGATCTGGACTGGCCTGGCAGGAGTGGCCCTGTTTCACTGTGTCTCTGTTGCAGCATCATGAAGATGAGCAAGCTGGTGTCTATGAATGATCAATCAACTGCCTCTTTTAAGCATCCTTTTGAAAATGTGACAGGATTTCACCAAGGGAGCTTTATTTCAATATGCAGTTTTTAAAAAGCCCTTCCTGAACACACATGTTCCTCTCCTTTGGAAAATGTCTTAAAAAGAAACCTCTCCCAATAGAAATGTGGAAAAAATAGGTACACAAACCAAGCCACCACTCTAGAAGAATCAAAAAATTACAACTCTATTAGGGCGTGGACTTCCACATGTGCACACAGTCCTTGCTCAGCTTATAATTTTTTTGTGTAGGGAGTTTTTTTTGCTTTCTTTTTTTGGTTGTTTTTGCTTGCTTTTTTTTAATAAAAAGTGTGGACATTTTGTTGGTTGGTTGGTTTCGTGGACATCTAATGAGAATGCATGTGAAAACCATCACAGTGGATAAGGAATGTTGATGGAGGGTCCAAGGCAAGAGGGACTACTCTCTAACTTAAAAGTGAAGACAACACGATGGAGCGGGAGTGTGCACCTTTGAGAAACTTTCTTCTTCAAAGCGAATGCACAAAATGAGGGGATTCACTACTGGCTCTTGCGCTTCACGAGGGAAGTGACCATTTTTGCTGGCCACTTCCACATTGCTGCCCTGTTGGGGCTGCGATTCGGGCTTACAAATAAATTACAGAATCTGAGGCCATAGGAAAAAAGGCTTACAAGAAGGTTCGATTTGTTGAAAGTGAAAGCCCCTCCCCACCACCATCCACCCCTCTGGCTTCATTTTGCTCGTCTTTTCTTCCATCTCTTCGGCAGCAGCGTTTGTTTGTTTTTTCAGTCCTTCTCATGAGGGAGATGATGGCGGGTAAGGTTTGCCGTCCTAGCGGCTGCTGTTTTTAATCGCTTCCTTGGCAGCGATAATCAGGGGAGTCAGGCTGGAGAGAGGCTTGGCTAATTTTAAAAATGGATGCTGCAAAACACAAGAAGAGAGAGGGAGGGAGAGAGAAAAAACAGAGGAATGACTGGAATTCTTTCAACAAATCTACTACTTCACATTTGCAAACACTTTCTTTTGGGTGTTGTTTCCTTTTCCCCAGTAAGATGCCTTTGGAGCACCCAATGAAGCACGGATTGATTCATTAGTTACAGTGCCAGCCTTTGTCTGCATCCTGCAATGTTATCAAATGCTCTGGCATATGACCTGCAGCGTTAGAGTTAGGGGGTCTTGTAACAACACATACTATTTGCTCTGGGCTCACTTTCTGATTTTCTTAAGGAGTTTATCTGGAATAGTCCCAGAAAAAAAAGAAAAGAAAAGAGTAACTCAGTCGAATGCTAAAGACCTTTTACCCTGAAACCAGTAGCTTCCTAATTGCTAACCCAACACAGCTGTGCTTCCACCATTTCCCCATTGGGCTCTGCAATACTTTTCAATCACAGCCTTCGAATGGATTGGGATGCATGGCAACCCTATAGAGCAGAGTAGAATTTCCCCTGTGGGTTTCTGAGACTGCCAACTCTTTATGAGCACAGGGAGCCTCGTCTTTCTGCCTTGGAGCTCCTGGGTGGATTCCAACTGCTGACCTTGAGGTTAGCACTTAGCAGCCCAACACATAACCCACTATACTACCAGGGCTCCTTGGCGGTACTTAATCCAAGTGAATTATCCCTTCCTACTTTGAGTTGTTTCCCTCTGTCATTTTGGTTAACCGTTTCCTCTTCCTCTTCTTCCCGAGTTTCATGTCCTTCTCCCAGCTGACACGTTATCCGAACTTGCCACCATCTTCTTTTCCTCTCTTACTTCTTTAAAAACCTCAATTTCTTTCATAGTGTCAGCTCTAATCTCTGAAATCTCATAGGAGTATTTCTACCCTGTCTTATAGAGGCACTCCGAGTTGGCATCAAACCGAGGGCAGTGAGTTTAGTGTGGAACCTTCTCTTCCCTGAGCTCTGGATCCTATTCCATCACTGGCTGTACCGGTATTTTCTCCTGAATGGCCTCCAGTCATCTTCAACATTTAAAAATATATGTTAAAGTATCCTACAACAGGGTACTCTCCTTGTGTGATGTAAGGTACAAGAGCTTTGCAGTCAAAGCACCATATAATCCACAAAAATAACATATTCATGTAAGTACCATATACAATACAGAAATGATGAAGCAAAATTGTTCTGGCATAGTGTGCCCATGCATATACTGCGCAGGTCTCCTGATATTTTTTTTCTTTTTCTTTTTTATCATTTTATTGGGGGGCTCTTAAAGTCCTGATCTTTCTTGAAGTGCATTTCTGCCTCATCTACCAGTCTGCCATTATCCCAAGTAAACGGCATCCTTTTGTTCATTTTTCTTCCAGTCTGCGTCTTCAATGTCCTGCTTCTGAGCATTAAAATAAGCCATGATCGAATTTTGACCATAAATGTGTAATAAAGACCTACATCATAGTCAAGAAGTCATAGATCAAGCTTTGTAGTGATCAGAAAGGAACCGAGTAAAACCATGCCTGTTTCTTTTATTATAAGTAGTACTTATAGTACATTAGCACAGTAGATGAATGTGAACACTTCATGAGATTGACGTAAGTGAAATCAGTAGATTCTATTAGATCTGCTTATTTCCTAGCTTAATGGTTATGAATTGGGCTGCTAGCTGCAAGCTCAGCAGTTCCTGCCAGGCATCAGGCAGACGGGGATGTCTAGCCCCATGAAGAGTTATAGTCTAACAGGCAACAGAAAAGTGGGTGAAGGGAGACATGGGTCAGTGTAAGACACGAAAAAATAATAATAATGGATAAATTATCAAGGGTTCATGAGGTGGGGAGAGGGAAAAATGAGGAGCTGATACCAAGGGCTCAAGTAGAAAGAAAATGTTTTGAAAATGATGATGGTAACAAATGTACAAATGTGCTTGACACACTGGATGGATGTATGGATTGTGATAAGAGCTATATGAGCCCCCAATAAAATGTTGTGTTTTTTTAAAGAGTTACAGTCTAGGAAAACCCACAGGGGCAGCTCTATTCTGTCCTACCAGGCTACTATGAGTTGCAATAGACTCAATGGCAGTGAGTATCGATTGAAGTCAGCAAAGTGGGAAGGAAACACTGGCACAGTATGCTTATGAAAATAATGTGCACTCGGGGTCGGGGGTGTGGTTGGCAAAAAAAATTGTTCAACGCATATTTTTTTGTGGGGGAAAAACCTCAACAAGATGGTACCTAGAGTCAATCCTTAACACTGCTTATTATAATGGTTAAATGAGGTAAAAGGAAATCCTCATATACTACCCAGGGATAAAGATATATTTGACATTATGTTCGCTTCTACGGTTTTCCTTTTACTGAATGTTACCATTGTTTGAGACCTTGAAGTCACTTTTACCTTCCTCTCTGTTCTGTTCCACACATACTTGTCTACCAAGTACTTTCATCTCGGTTCCTCTTACACTGGTCTTTCCTTTTCTTTTACACAATCCATTGTGTCAAGCACATTTGTACATTTGTTGCCATCATCATTCTCAAAACATTTACTTTCTGCTTGAGGCCTTGATATCAAGCTCCTCATTTTCCCCTCCCTCTCAGCTCCCTCCTCCCTCATGAGCCCCTGATAATTTATAAATTATTATTTTGTTATATCTTGCCCTGTCTGACGTCTCCCTTCACCCACTTTTCTGTTGTCCATCCCCCAGGGAGGAGGTCACATGTAGATCCTTGTAATCGGTTCCCCCTTTCCAACCTACCTTCCATCTTTTACCTCAATTTATCTCAAATTGATCCATCTTTCGAGGCTCAACGTATTTCTTTTCCTGTTCACAGACATGTTCTCATCACATCCTAGCCTATTTATCTGCTCAGCCATAGCATTTGGTGTTTGAATAGTCGAATGAATCTCTAAAGAGAGTTGCATTCTCTTTTCATGTACCAGGGGAGATTTCCAACTTTGGAGGAGTAGGTATCATACATTCAACAGTTTCCTATCACCCACTAGGCTAATATGCCAATTAATCTCCATTGACTGCTAGGGAATTATCTTAGGTCACACAGAAAGCATACAAATATTTAAGACACTCCCATATCTCCTCTTAAGCTTTTCCATTGGTTTCCTTCTAACCTCTGTAATGGATCATGGTAAGTTATGGTTGGAAAATAGAATTATATAGACTTGTTAATATGCATGCTATTATTTATAAGTATGAAACAAAACACTACAGCAACAAACTATCAGACTTAGACTCAGTCATTGAACCAGTTCAGATAAAAGAACTGTTGGGGCATGGATTATTTTGACTATTGATTCAACTGTCCATTTGACTATATAGCTATGTAATCCTAGATGACACATGAGGAATGTGCCCCAAGGTGTATAGGTAGAGAGAGGAGATGTGTAAGCAAAGCACTCAACAGATCAGGGCCATTCCAGATTTGATGCTTTGGGCCAGCATGGTCAATGTTCATTGGTAGCAAAAGAAGTCCAACCTCAATTCTTTCAAATCATTGTATCCCACATGTGATTTGGGCTGACTTGGTACTTTTGGGGGGTGGGGTGTAGCTCTGCATCTCTAATGGGAGTTCAGACCAATAGGAAAGGCTTTGGGGCTTGGGGGTGTGGGGCTAGTCTAGAACAAACTGAATCTGGGGTTAGCACTCTATGCTCTACCTTTTGTTTAATTGAGTTATGAGTTCAAAGGCTCAGAGAGAGAATGCTGTTCTTAGATGTAACACAACTTGATGTATGCTCCTGAGGAGAGTCTCAGTGGGAAGCTGTGTGTATAATCCTGGGCATGTGTTACTTTATCAATACCTTAGTTTGTGTTACATTGGTTTGTGTTTTTTGTGGTACAAAGTCAGATAATCCAGAGTTGAAGAAGTCCCAGTTCTGCTACTAAATAGGGATATCTTGGGCTAGCTGTAAATTTGAACCTCAAATTCCATATCTGTAAATTGGATAATAACACCTATCCTATAGACCTCTATATGGGTTACACCTACCCTATCAAGTTGTTGTAAGAATCCAATGAGAGAATATATGCTAAATGCTGGAGTCATAGGAGGTCGTAATTAACTTCATATATATCATATGCATCAAATTAACATCATATTTCATGGCCCTGAGGGCATGAATCCCTCAGGGTATGTGCCTGTGGTTTAAAATCGAAGAGTTGCAAGCCGACAGCTCTTACTGTCACACACATGAAAAATCCCCCAAGTCTGGCAGTCACTGTAATGGTCCTATTTGATTGTTACCTGCAACAGCTCCTTGGCAGCTCCTCGCCTATCCACATCCATCTCAAGACAGCGGTTTAAAAAGTCACGGAAGACAGTTGACAGTCTCTCGGGATTCTGGAGCTCCGGTGTTCCATTAGTGGCTATCAGATATAATGCCTGGGCGGGGGAGAAGTAGAAAAAAAATCTATTCAGCACATAAATAGTAGGCACGTGGCTTGGCACCAAAGGCATAAATGCAGTTTGTCTTCTGGTTTGCTCTCTGCATCTTGAAAATTCCATTTCAGAAAATGAGCTTGACATCTATTTCCAAGTTCCTATACCATTTTGAAATGATTACTTTTGGCAGTGTGTGACAGTGAGGTCCTCCACCCTCAAAAGACTTGGAACTACATGTGAACAAGGTGGTCCTCAGAGAAGTAAGCCTGTAAAAATCCATCTACAAGTAGTGTGTGATTAACTCTCAGGAGATGGCCTGTAAATGTGGGACTCCGGAGGTTGGGAATACCCATGCATCCACTCATGATTACCTGAGTATGACCTCCAGAGGCTTAATGGAAACCTGAAGGTAATTTGTCTCTTGTTTGGGAAATCTGTGAACATATGAGGTAGAGACTGACCGGGGTGGAGGATTAGAAAAGTACAAAGAAGCGCAAGATGGCAGTGGCCCTGAGAGGCAACCTGTCAGGCCCAAATACTCCAGTACTTTTGTTCCTGGGGCAAATGTATAGATTATACTGATTATAATTAGTTGTCTATGTAGTCCTGCCTGTAATAACAAAAATAAGAGAAATGGGGATTGGAAAAATAGGTGTATAAAAATTCCATTGTCTTTTGATTTTATTTTTCCATGAACTATCTAAAGCCTTCCCCCCTTTTTTGCTTTTTTCTTTTCCTCCCTCTGTCCCCCCACCTTCCTTTTTCCTGCCCTCACACCTGCTCTCCTTCCATCAATCTCCATTCCTCATTTGCCACCTGTCCCCCCGCCCTCTCTCTAATGCTGAAGAACAAGAATATCACTTTGAGGACTAAGGTGGACCTGACCCCAGGCAGAGGACCCCTGATGGCAAAGGGCTTACGAATGCAAGGTAAGTGGTTCAAAACCACCGGCAGGAGAAAAACCGGGCTTTCTACTCCTGTAAAGAGTTAGTCTCAGAAGCGCACAGGGGCAGTTCTACTCGGTCCTGTAAGGCCATTATGAGTTGGCATCAATTTTGATGGCGGTGAGTTTGGTTTTTGATTGTGACTTAAGCCAGGGTATTTTCAATCATGTCATATATCATGTGAAGTTGGGCAATGACTAAAGAAGACTGTAGAAGAACTAATGTATTTGAATTATGACATTAGCAAGGAATATTGAAACATAGCATGAACTTCCAGGAGAATCAACAAATATGTCTTGGAGAAAGTATAGCTAATATACTCCTTAGAAGCAAAGATGGGGCCGGCTTCATCTGCCGTACTTTGGACATGTCAAGGGAGATCAGTCCCTGGCAAAGGGCTTCATGTTTGGTGAAGTGGAGGGGCAATAACAAGGAGGAAGACCCTCAAGGGGATGGACAGGCACAGTAGCTGCAACAATAGGCTTAAACCTATGAACAATTGTGAGGATGGCACAGGGCCTGGTAGTGTTTCCTTCTGTTGAACACAGGGTTGCTATGAGATATAACAGACTCAATGGCACCCAACAACAACAACAACAATAACAACAACAAACAACTATCTGAAATAGCACTGTTGTGTAATGTCAGTACTAAGAGACAGAATCAGGGTCCCCTACATATTAAGACAAAATTAAGCTTTTGAATTAAGCTTCAGGACCATGCTTAATTCACAAATATAAACCCATCCTTGGAAGCTTGTGACACAATGTATATAAGGTATATTAGATAGAGGGGACCATTTAACGAAGTGACCTTCTTTTAAAGAGCACATGATTTAGCAGGAGTGATAGACAGACAGACAGATAGATAGATAGATAGATAGATAGATACAAAAAAGTGAGCAAAGAGCTATTAGAAGAGAGGAATGTAGAGAATGCTCAGGAAATATAAAGATGACACAATTTATACCAGAGCTCAGAGACTCTTGACAGAGGAGGTTGGCATTTGAGCACGCTCTTGAAAGGTAAGTAGGAGTTTGCTTGCAGGTACATGACTGCCTATGCGACCAACCAGCTCTGATGAAGACATGCCCCCTCCAGAACCTCTTGAGCTTTACAGCAAATTATCATCCCCTTTACCCACCCTTACCACCCCCCACCATGATTCCTACTATCCTAATTACAGCATTTGTACCAAAGTCTTTTCCCAGGTCAGTTGGCATAAGCAGGCAAGGGCATCTCTTCTCTTTTCTAGCAACTCACATAAAATACACCTTAAAAAGGCTAGGAAGGACACTTTAATCCAGTGTCTATGAACCTATATAGCCTGCCCCAAAGTTTTCCTTCAAATGTAGATTGCTGGATTCCACCCTCAAAGTTTCAGATTGAGAAAATCTTGGGGGAGGATAGGAGCCCAAGAATGGGCATTTCCAAGTGTCCTATTGATACTGAAGCTGCTGGTCCCTGGACCACACATTGGTTTGATCTACTCCCCCCATAATTAAGTAATGAGCTAAACTAGAGGTTCTCCAACCTGTCTAAGGATTAGAACCACATGGGTGAGTTTCTAAAAAATCCTGATGCTCAGGTCTTATCCCCTGACTAATTAATTTAAAATCTCCGGGAGAGCACAGAACTGAGGAATCAATGTTTTTGAAACTCTCTAGCTGAGAACCACGATGAGGCCCGCTGGTGGCATAGTGGCTATGCATTGGGCTGCTAACCACAAGGTCAATCATTTCAAACCACCAGCCCCTCCAAAGGGGAGAGCTGGGGCTTTCTAGTCTCAGGAAGAATTCACAGTCTCAGAAACGCCCAGGGGCAGTTCCACCCTGTCCTACAGGCTCGCTATGCACCAGCATCAACTCAGTGGTAGCGAATGTTGTTTTCCTTTGGAGGTGAGAACCGCAGGCTGATGATCTGGGATCCATCCTAGACATAATAACTTCGAATCTCCATATTTTAACAGGCTCCTTAATTTATTCAGAATTACACCACAATTTACGTGTCATGGGATTTCACAGAGAGGATTCTCTTGCACAGATAGGAGAATTACATTGCTACATACAGAGTACAATCAAGCCTTCCCCCACCCCAATACATTAAAAAAACATATGTAAATACTCTCCCCTCCACATAAACACCTTCTTTCCCCCCTCCATCCACTCCTTTCCTATTGTCAGCTCTTTGGTGGATGAATAGCACATACAAAATCAGTTGTAAATCCAGTTTTAACTCATAGGAGTTGGGATGGATAAAGGACACACAAACTCATTTTAGGCAATCACTGATTTTGCTACAATCAAATGGTACACAAGCACAGCAGTTACATGAAATAAAGTTCAACCAGAAGTTCAACCAGACGGCTTTTCCTTCTTGGATGATTTGTGTTTGAAGCATCTGTCCTCATAAGCCATCTCTGTTCCCTTATTAAAAGAAATTTGATTGCGGCAAATTACATATGCTGTCTTCTCCTAACACCTCATTCAACTGGCCACATTTTCCCAAAACTTGCTATCTTTTGCTTACTCTTTTCTGCTCTGTAACCAAGCCCAGTCTCAAATCAATAACTTCTCTCCATCTTTCCACTCTTCCTAAGTCTCTATTCATGCCCTAAGGCTCCAGTTTTGTGTTTTCCTCTCATCATTCCTAGCTCAATACTCTGTACATTCTTCTTCCTTACAAGAAAAAAACAAGTTTAACCCACGTCCTTCTCATCTGTTTAATTGTTGCCTAATTACCTTGGGAAATTTACAGTACTCTTTCCATTCCATTTATGAATACTAAAAAAGATGACCCGCATCAGAATTGTTGAACTTGAGTACTGCTTGGTGACTGCCATGCATCCAGGAAGAAAGCCCAGACGTAATAAGGAGCGAGTGCTACCACCTCTTAGTGCTTCGGCGTGCCCACGTCCTCTTCAGCACGTCTCCACAACAGTCTCAGTGGAAGGTGGGCATTGGGGATGAGCAGGAGTCGGGAGCAGGTGTTGCCTTGGCACTGATCTGCTTACACTACCCCATCATCAATCTAACTATCAGTATAAAGCTGTCCTTGCTTGACTCGATATTATGATCCTAAGGTTTTAAAAATTATTGCAAGTATATAGAGAACAGTACATTGGCCAATTCAATGTCTTTCACATGGACAATTTGGTGAGAGTAATCATGCTGCACACCTATCACCCAAATCCACTGCCAAATTATCTGCCACCATTATCCGAAACTCTCTGCTTCTCCAACAATGCCTGCTCGCCCGCCCAAATCCCTGGCATCCACAGATAAACTTTGGGCTTTATACATTTGCCTAGTCAAGGTATCTCACATTAGCATAATTCCACATCTTTGTTCTTTTAGTAGTGAAGATTTTGATTCAGCATCAGATTTTTCAGAGGCCATCCATATTGTGGCCTTCATGAACCAGGACCTCATGTCTCTTTATATTATCGATATTTGTAGATGTCTTTAAAATTGTAGATGTCATAAATGCCATTTTAAAGACAGCATAATTGTTTCTGATGTGGATCCACCAGCCTCAAGAAGCTATTCAACTGTCATTGGGCTGATTAAAATAGATGTACTATGGAAAATGTTGAAAGGCAAACACACTAACATGTTAGCTAACAATAGTTCCATCTAGTTCGGAAGGCTCATTAATGACTTAATTTTTGAAATGTAGTTTTCAATTTTTCACAATGGACACAATTGTCCTTATGGGTAGGATTTGTTTTTTAATAGCCTCCAAGACCATTATTTAAAAAAATAAATTTAAAAAGCCGTGGTGTCCAATTGACCAAAAAAAAAAATCCTCATCTGTTCTCTTTGTCTTCCTAGGATTAAACCTACTTTTCATCAAGCACTACCCTTTGAGGGAAACAAAAACTCCAGACCATTGTTTTCATTGTAATTGCAACAGTATTATTTCCAACTAATACCCATTGCGAATATCTACTCTTTCAGTTACATTATGGGCAAGATTGGCCTTTGTGGACTGGCCTTGGGAACCTCATCACCATGAATAGTGCCGCTTCCATGGGGGGACAGCACTCTGCTTTCAA